GGAAACTTCTTGAGTGTGCAATTTACTGAGAATGAATGCAAACTGCATGTAAAGTGTTGCAATAGGCCTATAAAGTGATGTTCAATGTCAAGACTGTTTCTAGTGTCAACTCGGAGAATTGAAACTGCAAATTATGAAAGTTTCTTAGCTTTTTTCAATTTGGTAGGGTTGTTTCTTAACTTTCGAAAAATTGAGCCTACCGTTTGTTATAACCTGCTTCTTATAAAAAAATTGAGTGTAACCAAACGATGTGATATAAAATTTTGATCAGTCCAAAAAACCTTAAAGTACGGCTCAGAATGAACTAAAATACGTCCAATGAGCATGCCAGCTAGATCTCAAAAAACAGGGGACTTTATTGGAAAGTTTTTGGCACAGAATTATACGGGTCTCTGCCACACAGAAGCCCAAAAGTTGAGCCAATCAAGACTCCTCCCCCTTAATTAAATGCTATCAGTCTCCGGGAACATGGCCAAATTAACGGCGACGTTGTTGGTAAGGATCTTAATGGAGTGATACGGTCATTATATCAAAGTGATTCAAGTGATTAGGAATGTTTCCGTATCAGAAGTATTAAAGATTCCTGATGATTATTGAAATTGAAAAAAATGATTCGTCTCAGGATTGATGATTACCGGAGGTTGATGGGTGATCGCGTTTGTCTTTCTCTTTTAAAAAATAACTCCACTGAGACACTTGGCTAGTTAAGTTAAGGCTAGAAATCTCCATTTGGCAGAGCACGATAAAAGGCTGTTCGTTATATTAGCCTATTATATAAATTACCTATTGAATACATTTTGGCATCATTACTTTTGACGTGCAAAACTTATTACCTTTTAACCACGCGTCTTTAATCACTGTCGCTAATGCCAATGTGCTTTATAAAACATTTCAATGTGTTTGTAGAAACATTTAAAAGAAGTGTTGGTTTCTTTTTGTGTCTTTTGAAGCTGGGTCTGTTGGCAGTAGTATCATTTGCAATTATTGTGCCCACATGACTGATGGCTAAAACATATATCAGGCATTAAAGATCTGTATAAGAGAGAGTGAAGCCGCAGTTTTGATAGATCAAAACTTAATTTTTTAAGCGTATTCTTTTGAAATCATGGTTGGAAAAAGCGTTAGTTTTTCTGGGAATCTCGATCGTATCAATTTCAATTACATATATTATGGACGGAACATCAGACCGTCAATCCAGTAAGAAACGGCGTTACATAAAATATAATTTACTATGGTTATCAGAATTTTTAGTTTTCAAAGATTACATTGTTAAAAGCTATTACTTATTTAGGTGTTAAAGTTGATGTAATCTTCGCTTATCTAACCAATTTTTTTGCCACAGGTGAATTTTTGATAATTGAAATTTATGTGTTATTATTTCTATGTTGTTAGTATTGTAAGAGTTTGTGACGGCAGTTTGTGAAATTAATTCTAGCTCCTTTGGTAAAAATTTACAAAACGGCTTTTATAGATTCTATATAATTTGTATCAAATTGCTTTAATCTAAATATTTTTTATTTCTTTTGCAGTGACGATACAACGATGCCTTCTAGAAAGTTTTCTGTAAACTCTCAATTCTCGTCTTCGTCAGTGAAAACATCTGGAAGCAGTAGCAATGAAATAAGCGCATACCGCAGAGCCGCATCCGTGCATGAAATCAACGAGCTATACGCCGCTCTGAATGAACTGATTAACTCCCCGCCAACGCAGCAACGACGAAATACAGGAGATTCGGTGGTAAGTGGGAAGTCTAGTTGGTCTTCTGATAGCAATTTATTAGAAAATGAAGCGAATCATAAAGTTCTTACGAAGCGAGCGAATTCTGAGTCCTCATCTCTAAGGCCATCACGATCCGCCTCTTGTTTGTCGTCAAAGAGCTGTTATGCGTCTATCTGTACCAATACGTCACAAATTTCAACGGCACAAAATACAGACTCTCAAAAGAGCAGTGGTATATACTCAAAGCTTGTCGCTAAAATTCGCGGTAAAAAGGCAGTTGAGGGGAAACGCGGTAAAGCTAACCAGAAGATGCGGAAAAGTTCTAGCATTGACCCAAACGTATGCGTTATTAACGGAAAACCCGTTAAAAGCATTGAAGATCTAATCGAGCTAGCGAATTCGAAAAACTCGAGCAGTGGCACCAAAACCAGCGCTAAGGATAAACGCAAGAAGTTTAAGACTCAGGGCAGATCGAAAGCAAATTCTTTTGACTCTTCTGAATCAAATTCGCTTGGAATATGCGTACATAAAGTATCTTCGAAGTTAAGAACTTGGTACACAAGGGCTGCCTCCATTGCAGCTACAATCGAAGATGAGGCCAGGTCGCGAGCAGAATCTTCAATGACCGCTTCGAGTGAAAATTTCCTTGACGACAGTCCTTGCGAGATGAACGGTGGTGATGAAGTCAAATCTGAGGAGGGGCTAGCTCTTGCTGACTTTGACGTTTCAAATGCGGACGCTTTGGAACTAAAAGTCGAAGATTCGAAGCAAGAAACAAACGTTGATACTTCAAAAGAGGAAGTAAAGAAAAATGTTCCTAGAATTGATCTCTTATTGAAAAGGTCGTACAGCAGTTATGATTCAAGTGAAGACGTCTTTTTATGTGATAAAAACCACGGAGTTAGGTGTACCGAGAATTCTCGGTGGAAAAGTGACAATAGATGCGATCTTATTCGTCGTTTGTCGTTGAACATCGTTGAGGATGTTTTGGCGGGAAAGTCTGCAAGTTGTGGTAATATTGGAAAATCTGGTCGTGTTATGCATCACCCTGATCTTGGTTCAAATCTTAAGGTTCAACAATGGCTAAAGGATCTGGACAGCGGCAGGGCCCTGAAATCCGGTAAAGGTATTTCGTCACAAACTGCGGAGGAGACAATACAAAAGTTGACTAAACTATGTCATGATTCTGAAACTGCGAAGGAGGGTCAATCACAATGCAGCGGGTGTCAAGTGAATGTAGAGCCCCTACAAACGCAGCCGTTGTTCTACATTCCTAACTTTAACAAAAAGGAAAATGATGCTTCAGTGAATATGATAATACCTTTTTAATTTTTTTATTTTAATGGCTTCCAAATTACAAAATAACTAGAATTTGTATTTGTATAATAGAAGAAACTCAGAGCATTAGGATTTTTATAGCTTATATTTAGACGTACCTTAAATTTGTTGAAGTAGATAAATGCAAATTGTTTTATTGTTTACCATTTGTTCCAAGCCTATAACTCTGGTTGTTTTTTCTCATTTTCCAGTACCTTCCATAATGTTCCAAATGTCATTTGTTATCTATCAATATTTGCAGATTATCATTTTGCCACCTCCTGGTGGATTTTCCGGCAAATTAGACGGACACAGAAAAATTAGAGGTGGTAGAAATTGCCTCAATCTCCGTAGATCTTAAAAATCATGCTTTTTATGATGTATTATTCTAAAAAATACTAGTGTGATGAAACTGCTAGGCCTTTTGAGATAAAACTGCTAAGCATTGGAAATGGCGTTGTATAGTACACTGGAAATGTGAATTTATCTTAAGTGTAATTTTTTTTATTTTTTGACGCGTATAACTATCGTGAAGAAAGCTTTGGGAACAGTTACTTCATTGTCATTTTACATCAAACTGAGGATCAGCAAAACATGGCAACCTCTATCTACCAGCATATCCGAGGGGCAAATCACTCTAAGAAAATCTCTTACACCTTTTGTGAAAATCCTATTGTTTTATCTGGAAATTCTCAGAAATCCTTTTTTTTAAGCAAAATCTCGTACGCTATTTACAAGAGTGAATCGCCCCTCGAGCATATCCACCGAAAACTAAACAGCTCCCAACCACACGATATTTCTCTCGTCATATTACCAAACGGTTCAGTTGAAAAGACAAGAAAAACACGAAGAGCATGTAGAATTAAGCGTTGATGCAATAACGGAAACGGAAATGTATTTGTAACACAATTTAATGTACTTGTCAAATAGAGAAAATTATAGGCCTAAAATGCCTTTACTAAAACACCCACTGAGTGCAACAATGATGAAGCAATGTACTTTGTTTATTAAGAATTAAATGTTGAAAAACAATTCTGAAAACCATGTTAAAAACAACAATCTACAAAGAGCTTGATATTACGAAATGTAAAAACTCGATGTCACTACTACCCTCGTTTAGGTGAACCTCGTTTTCAAACAACAGGGCATCAATTCGATTATATTGGGCTACGCTGAGCCAAGTCATTCAACCTTGCTAAATCACCTTAACCCAACCCTTCCGACCACGGCAAAGGCTCACAAAAGCGCACAGAACAGGCCGGAAAAGACAAAACATGTTTCCCTCGCCTCAAACATCGTGCTATCTGTGCCTCTCGTGTAGTCTCCCTGTAATTTGGAAAGGAGAAATAGTGGTAAGCCCCGGTCTATGCTGATAAAAGGACCAACAATTTGATGTTTTCTTGATGCTTTTCCAAGTTTTTTTTCTTTATTACTAGAAACCTAACTTATTGCAAAACAAAAGCAAACTAAAAGTAAAACATATTGTACTGGAAAATTCAGCTATTCGCTTATCCTTGGGAAACAACTTTGAAGAAAAAAATTTGTTTATAAAGGCTAAATACATCCCTTCAACTCGAAAATGTTATGGGCTGCAGATGGCGGCATTTGCTTGATTTTATCGTCTCCTTGAGGGTTTGTTAATGCTCTTCAAAGAAAGATGTTTTGTTCGTTCCCAGCCCTCTCTTTTGTAACATTTGTTTACGTTAGCTATCGACCTGATTGATCGGAGTGAGGAATAAAATATCCACCTGTATCTGTTAGCTGTGACACAAGAACAAGCTGAAAAACTAAACTATGTACAGAAAAGAAATGCTTATCCTAGCTAGGTCAGTGTTTCTGATACAATTTTGATAATTATGAATTAAGAACTCTACCTTTCTGACTTTGAAATTAGGTTGCAAAATGGAGTAAAACCTTAACAGTAAAACATCAGCGATCTTTTGTTCAGGTCTTTTTTCCAGATAACAAGGTTTTCAGTTTACCTGAAATAAAAAAATGAAATTTAATTAATCGACGAAAAATGGTCAAAGGGGCCTACATTTTGTCCTGATATTTGTTCTAATGTCCCAATTTCGTTCTTTTCTACTTTCGGAGTACTCCCCCCCCCCCTAAAAAATTCCTGTGATAATTCATAACCTTTCTTTGGGATATTTTGTATTAAAATCACAGAGGCTGAATTGTCTTCATTTTCATTTTCCAAAAAATCATTTAGCAGATGCTACGATGGCAGTAGTTTCTTTGTTTCAAGTTTAGAATGTGAAAAAGTCTGTCAACGACATTAAAACCACAATGCGTAAAATTTATCTTGCAAGAAAGAACAAGCGAGGTTTTTCCTTCAAAGGAGGCCAGAATCAATATTATGTTGGGAAATTATGATTATAGGGTGACTTCTTATAAAAACAGAAAATGGAAAAGGAAAGCTGCCAGCAGTATGTTATAGCTTTTTTCCAACCTAGTCAGTTGTTTTTAGATGCCACTTCCCTACACAGTTTCCCTACACAGTTATATTCTAAGTCGGAGATATATGGTCAACGATTCAGCGAGAAGAGGTTTAGATTCAACTAATGGTTAGAGATGAGAGATTTGTAAGTTGTGAGAAACTGTTGTTCGATCCGTGCGGTCTAGGCATCGAATTCACAGGACAAGTCATTTTTTCTCCCAGAACATTGTTGCCATGGGCATTGTTGCCAAAGAGAGGGTGTTGCAATTTACCTAATGCGTTGCAGCGATATATTTTTCAACAGTTGTACATGAAAATATATTAGAATGCTCTGACAACACCCTTTATGTCTATGAAAACTCCTTATAAAATGGGATCTATTTTGCAAGTTTTCCCCCAGTTATATCACAACCAGTAAGAACTGGCTGGTAAAACATTTCCGTGAATAATATTCACTAGCTGCCTTTTACCTGGAAACTTCGAAAACTTTCGACCCTTGTCGCGCTTCTTGTCTGTGTTAAAAATATTTGCATTGTTGTCCGTATGGCCAAAGTCTTTCTCATCAAGATACAAATTTTCATGGCGTTCATTGGATGGGGTTTTCTCATTATTGTCTTTACCTAGAGTAAGGGATCTGGGCCTGGGACTCTTTCTTCTATAGTCACTTGTTGTCCTTAACAACCGCTCCTGTACATCCTGCTTCATAGCTGCATCCATGCTTCCCCGCCTGTTGACAGTTCCAAATGACTTCGACCTCTTTTCTGACATTTTCTGGATCTGCTTCCAAGCAGCTTCATCACGTCGGTCAAAAGTCTCCCCCATGCTGATTGCGCTTCGGCTTCTGGGCCTAGCCGGCGACAGCAAAGCATTTCCTGAGGCTACGTCTTCGCTTATTATTGTTGTGTTGGATTTCATGTGATCTGTAAAGTTCGGAATATAGAAAATCGGTTGGTTTGGCAAAATGTCGACCGGAGACTCCCCATTGCCTTGAGTTTGATCGTCAACACTGGGTTGTGATACAATGATTCGGTTGACGACTAATGGAGAAACACTATTGGCTCGTTCTGGAGACCCATCATCTTTACCGATTGACAGCACCGAGGAATCCAAAGACCGCGGTTCCACGGATGCATCAGAGCTTGATCGACCTCTGTCTTCCGCGATTAAGCTGCTTTTCTTCTGTTGCATCCATTTGCTAAGTAAATCATCAGCAGTGAAGCTATCCAACTCCAAGTCAATACCATCTAACGATTTCCCCTTCTTTATTGGAGAACTTTCTTTGGGCGAGTCGTCCGATTCTGAGCTTGAAAAGCTTTCATAAATCTCGCACTCATCTTTAATTTCACCTAATGCCACTGCGGAGGCCCGCTCATACCAGCGGTCTATTCGAGACGTCACATCAGAATATCTCAAGTTGGAGTCGGAGAAATTCGGCCTAATTCTACAGGTGGACTCAATTAACGACCCAACACGCTTCCGCTGTCCTGGCTTTTTCCGCCTCTTCTTTTGCTCCTGAGCTGGTTTTGGTTCGTCCATTTTGGCCCATTCCAGCAGATCATTGATATTTTGGATTTCTTTGTCGAAATCAATACATTCCCTTTCTTCTTCAATTTCTTTTTTCCGTAAGCCTTGCGTGAACCTGCAAATAGATAGGTTAGGTAAAAATTAATTTGATAATATCCAGCCAAGTTAACAGGCTATCAGTAAATAGATACTGCAGACACTGCTACTGATTTTGATACATGTTTTCAGATACCAGAATGCTAAAATCCTAACCTACTTAAAATATCTTCTATTAACTTAGATTGACATAACTTAGAGGAACTTCAAGGTTAACAATCAAAACCATGTTTCTTGAAGGTTTCCTGGGAAGTTGAAAGTTTGGTTTCTGTATTTAGCTCATTGCAGTGTCTACAGCTACGCTGTGAACGGGATATTTGCCCCTTGCATCTGTTGTCTTTAAGGACTTTTAACATTTGCTTTTGTAGATCTCAAAGCTCTGTTTGTATTTTCAAGAAGTTTTCAAAAAGGTCAACTAGATAGTTTGGGGCCAAGGTGTATAGAACATTGCAAAGGTTAATGAGTCTCCTAAACAAGGTATCGAGTATAGCAAAACTTTAACCCAAGAATAGAAAGTCCTAGTTAGCAATCCAAAACGAACAGAGCTGTGTCACAAACCAATCAAACTAAACTCTATGACTTAAACGCGACCTTTTAAGTTATTATAGCATTATTTCCTACACGATAGTGATTTCACTGCTTCCTTTAAAATCTGGGTCTGCTTCCCAGGCTACTGTAATGGGTACTTTACCTGAGTTGCTACATATGTTACGTACAACAGGTGAATATGGACAGCGAGGTTACTTAGAAAAGCAAAAGCTCTTGTAAAAGAATCTATGCTTAAAACCAATTCTCAATTTTTGAAACTCTTCAAAGATAATTAGTTTCTCTGAAAGTATTAGCTCCCCTTTAGGGGCCATTTGCCACAAAACTTTCCCCGCACTTACTTCAGCCTCTGGTCCCGTATTTTCTCTGCCATAGATTTCGAGCCATCAACCGAGCTCCTTGATCTTAATCGCGACGCATCCGATTTACTCTTCCTCAAAATCAACTTCGGCGACAGCTCTACGTTATTTGCAGTAACTGCTTCACGCTTGTTTGGCAAGATACTGGGTTTTGTTCCCGCACTCCTGACTCTAGTGCGGGGTGACTCAAGCACAGGGAATCTGAAAGAAATCCATAACACAAACTTTTCTTACATGATATTAATAAAGAAGCTTTGTCCCTTTGTGTATTACATAAGTCATTTCATGTGCCCAAATTTTCTTTTTATTAAAGCAAAATAAAAAGGAAATATATATTTTAAAAAAAAAACATGTATGTTAA